GTTCTCCCAATAGCTTCTGGAGGGGGCCCACATTGTCCCTAGTCTGTCTTTTATTTGCAATGTGCCTATAGAATCCCTTCCTGTTATCTTTCACATCCCTAGCCAAGTTTAATTCTAACTGGGCCTTAGCTTTCCTAACCTGATCCCTAGCTTCTCGGACAACATCCCTGTATTCTTCCTATGCCACCTGTCCTCGCTTCCACCTTTTATAAGCCTCTTTTTTCCCTTGAAGTTTCCTTAGCAGCTCCTTATCCATCCAAGGAGGTCTCCTGGCCCTCCTGCTGCACTTCCTTCTGGTTGGGATGCAACACTCCTGAGCTTGTAGCAGGTGATCCTTGAATATCAACCAACAGTCTTGGGCCCCCCTGGCCTCTAGGGCTGTATCCCATGGAACCTTACTAAGCAGGCTCCTGAAGAGGCCAAAGTCTGCTCTCTTGAAGTCTAGGGCAGTGAGCTTGCTGCATGCTCTTCTCACTGTCCTGAGGATCTCAAACTCGACCATCTCATGATCGCTGCATCCAAGGCTGCCCTGGAGTGTCGCATTTCCAACGAGCCCTTCCCTGTTGGTGAGCACGAGGTCAAGCACGGCACCTCTCCTTGTCGGCTCCTCTATTACTTGCAGAAGGAAGTTGTCTTCCACACAATCGAGGAACCTCCTGCATTGCTTGTGCTGGACCGTACCGTCCTTCCAACAGATGTCAGGGTGGTTGAAGTCCCCCATGAGAACAAGGGCCTGCGAGCGTGAGGCTTTTCCTATCTGTCTATGGAGTGCTTCATCCGCAGGTTCTCCTTGATCAGGCGTCTGTAACGGATCCCCACAGTAATGTCTCCCATAGCTATATTCCCTTTAACCCTGACCCACAAACTCTCTGTGGACTGCTCACCTGTCCCCAGACAGAGCTGCATACTCTCCAGCCTATCCCTAACATAAAGGGGAACTCCCCCTCCCCGCCTGCCAGGCCTGTCTTTCCTAAAGAGCCTGTAACCTTCCATTCCAACACTCCAGTCGTAGGAGCCATCCCACCATGTTTCTGTGATGCCTATTATATCACACCCCCATAGACGTGCACACATATCTAATTCCTCTTGTTTGTTCCCCATGCTATGGGCATTTGTATAGAGGCATCTGAGCCGAGCTCCAAATGAAGCCGGCTCATTGGCTGGAGCGGCTGGGATATCTCTACATTGCTCCGAGCACTTATTATAGGTTCTGGCAACTGACTGGGTGTTTTGCGATGGAATGATGCCTCCTTCCCTCAACACATCTAGTTCAAAGCTTTCTTGACCAGCCAGGCAAGCCTCCTACCAAAACCCCACAGACCAGCTCCACCAGCCCCCACTAGACCTGGCCTCCTAAATTGCGTCCCGTGTTCTAAATACCCAAACCCCTGACTATGGCACCACTGTTCTAACCATTTATTAACCTGGCCAATTCTCCTAGCCTTTTTAAGGTCCTCCCCTTTATCCTGGAGAATTGATTAAAAGACTCTCTGGGCTCCAGGGCCCCTAACCACCTCCCCCAGGGCTCTGTAGTCCTTCTTTATGTTCTCCGGGCTACTGCTATCTATATCACTAGCACCCACATGGATCACTAGAAGTGGGTAATAGTCAGTGGGACTTACTAGAGCAGGCAGCCTCTCAGCAACATCCCTGATCCGAGCCCCTGGTAGGCAATGCACCTCCCTTGAGACTGGGTCAGCCTGACAGATCAGTGCGTCTGTGACTTCTCTGCGTAACAGATGGATCCTCTCAACCTTGAAGTCACATCCCAAAACTGCACACCTGAACCCAAACTCGTCCCCATGTGGGACTTTACTGACCTTATTTCCCTCAAGTGCAGACCTGCCATCTCTCCCACCACGGCAAGTGAGAAGCTGTCTGGCTTTCAGTCTGTTTGCTAAAGAAGCAACTTCTAGCCCTTGTGTCACCTCTCCATTGCTTTCAAACCCCTCTTTGTAACTGCTCTCTTCAGCCTGAATCTAAGGAAAACTACGTCTCTGTAGCCTGCTTTCCTTTCTCTGGTTGAGCTACAGCTGCTCCCAATTTGCTGCCAATTCAACACCTGGGCAGGGAATCAACACTTAACACTTTGCAGATGGAGGTAACAGCCCCATCTAATTATGTCTAAAATGAAAGGCCTAGCACAGTGGCACTAGTGCAAAAGTACACAATACAGGCAAGAACAAAGGACAGCAGCCCCCACCTTCGGTTAGCACAGTTTAAACAAAGTTTCACTGTGTTTGCACTGCACTCCTGCACCCAAGCAGGAGAGCTTTCCAGATATGAAATTGTTCAAATGAGTGCAGAAACCACTTATTTAAAAAGAAAAAAAAAAATAACAAAAAAAAAAACCACCAAGCTCCACCAGAAAATGAGACTCCCAAGTAGGTCTTAAAGAGCAGCTCCTCCAAAAAAGAGGAAGCAAAGGCATCCTCATAGCCACATGAAGTTGTATCAACACATTCACTGGAGACCTAAGAAGTTCTCTCTGTTATAATCTTCCCATTCACAAGATGGGATGCAAAAATCTTCAAGGGATCACTCTTCTAACCCGAAAGTATGAGACAAGTTTCCTAGTTACTTATAAAGGGAAAACAAAATCTGTGAAACCCAAAAGCCTACAAGGTGGAAGGGAGGGAGGAGGGGAAACAGCTGGATCCCACACAAAGGACTATGAGCCAGAAACTGCAGTAAATTGTGTGTTGCAATATTCTCAGCCAACAGTAAGAGCAACAGACAGGGAGGGAAGGAAAGCTTGCTCTCTGGCTCAGAAGCTATAGTCACCCATGAGAGGTTTACTTTGCTCTCACCAGAACATAAACATCACAGAAGAGCGATGCTTCCATCACCCTTCTCTGTTCTTCACTGTGCAAAAATCCCCTCAGTTTATTTATACATGATGTATAAGTCCTTTTGTAATTAGGCTGCAACATAAAACAGTGAGGACTAGATACAAAATCAAGCTTTATTTTGAACTCAAGAGGCATGAAAAAGTAAATGGAAAGAAAAATACCTTTACTAGGTGAATCTGGAGGTTAGACTTAAGAAAACCTCAGATATAAGAACTTAAAAGGCAGATATGAATGGTCACACAGAGAAAAACCAACACTGACCGAAACCAAGACTTCGCATTTTTACTTTTGGAGTTTTGTGCAAAAGGGCAAATTAGTAAATGTGGAATTTTCTAGAAGCACAGGGAAGACCAATGCAAACAGACAGCGTTCCTCCATCAGCTGATTACATTACCTGTGTGGTCTAAGGCAAAAGGTTAGAGTGAATACAGGCATTGTGTCTGATAAGAACAGAGCAGCCTTTCTTTGCCAGGCTCTTTAAGCTTTCTTTAAACAGTATTGCACAATTTAAACACTGGCGTAATAGAGGAGATGCAGACACAGAGCCACCCTAAGAATTGCAAAAATACTCCAAATAGAAAAGCCATACAGGTCAACCCTGGACATTAAGGATGGGAAGGAGAGAAAACAAAGCAGTTATGACATCTGGAAAACCTCTTTTGGGCTCAGAGCCAACTCTGCAGCTCATCTGCCAGCAGACACATTGCCATTTCCTGGCATCAGCTACAGAAGGCAGCACGAATCTGGGGGCTTGCTTAGTGGAGGGGTAGGGTAGCAAGTGAGCAATGCCAAAATCCCAGAGCTGGCAGGGCTGAAGCTTTTAACCATGCAAACAAATAAGGAGATGTGAAATATCTACCCTCAGATAAGCCCGGCTGCGCAGTGGGGAACACAATGACAAACAAGAGACACAGATCTGAGTCCAAGTTCTGACATTTATCAGTGGCTCTGACCTTACAAAGCCAAATCTGGCACCAGCTACGCTGTCTTAGCTTTTATAACCATTATGACCATCTCCCAGAACTGTCAGAAAAAAAACAGAAAAGCAAGGAAAGAGACTGTACCATTTCTCATGGGAATACAGCACACCAGGTGGGGCCCTGTCATCACCAGTCTGGCAAAATCCAAAACACTGCAGAGAATGCAAGTCTCCTAAAAAGTGAGTTATAAGGAAAAACCCAGCAGTTTATTTTGACTGGGGAGTTATCTGTACTTCATGGTTTGGCACAACAGCTTGGAGTCCAACGGTTATGTCATAGCGGCATGTAAATCAGACTGTTTTGATTCCTGACTGTTCAACAATTTGCAAAAACTTATTAATCAGTCCTCCAGTGCTGAACTGCAAACCCCTGGGATTTTTGTATGCAGTTTCAAAAGATTATTTATGCCTACAGTTCTGATCTTCCTGCTTCTTCCCTCACCCCTCCTGAAGTGGAGAATAGTGGAGATACCGAAAGCTTGCTTTAGGGTTAAAATACCTATTTGAGCATTGCCCATACTTGTTAATGAATTTACAGTACAGAGAGATCTCTCTGGTATTGTTCTTTCAACAATTTCAAGCAAGAGTGTTCAGGTGGCGGCTGGTTTTGATCAGAAATAGACATCACCAAAAAAGTTCATACTTCTCCTTTTCATCAGGAGGGTGACATAAGACTGAAGACTCATCTTGCAAGTCATGGTAACACAGAGCAGAGGGAGAACTTGTTTTCAGAATCACACTGATGCACCAATTGTGCAAAATCTTAAGCACATATAAGCAAGCACAGTGACTAAAAATCACATACCTACACTACTCATGAACGAAGCAAGAACCTCAACAGCTCCAAATTCTGGCACAGGAACTAGCATCCCCATCACCAGTCAGTACTCACAAAAAGCAAAATAAAATATTTACTGGGGGACAAGAAGCATGTCCCATTTAGTCTAGGCTGTTCAAATGACACACAAAGATAGCCATCAATATCTAAAGCAACCAGTGGGAATCTTACATATGCACCCTGGAAGACAAAGAAAAGCATCTGAGGCCTTATGTTATTAAAAGAGGGGAACAAAAGTTTAATATAAAACAATTATTTTTTCTTAAATCAACATATTCAACTGGGACATGAAGCAAACTGGTGGTAAACAGCTTAAGTTTTTGCTTCTTACCTCCTCAGGTACTATGATTAAAGGGTATTTGTCCTCCGATAAGAAGTTAAAAATAACCCACACTTTAAATGCATCTTCATCACTAATCAGCAAAGGACTTTTAGAGAGGTTCTTTTTAGCACAGAGAGTCCAGCACATCCTGTTGAATTCAACTTTGTCAAAGTTTCCTTGAACCTAAAATGAAGAAATTGAACAACAAAAGAAATTAATACAAACGACACAGAATAACTGACAAAGTTTAACAGGCATACAAAAAAGTCATGCAAAAAGCACTGACAAAGTCTAGTTTGCAAGAAACATCAAGGCCCAGAAAAGAGCACTGTAGAAGCCTGGTCTGACTTCCTGTATGGGGTCAACTAAGGAATTTCTTCCAGCAAAACCTACATCCAAACTCCAGTTTCTGGTCGAGTTAATAACAGCCTGACTTCATGTGAAGGAGGCTATACTGCAGTCTGTGTTTCCTCTAACATATTAGGTTACACTTCCAAACCACCTTCTTAACTGCCTTAAGTTTCCAGATGCCCTTCTATTGCACTGAGTTACTGAGATTTTATACAGCAAATCTGGAAACCAATATAGCCAAAACCACATGTGGATATGCTAAAAGGCATATTGGAACAATAGCTGGGAAAGACCTTTAATATGTTTTTCCACTTCATGTTACTTAAATGTAGCTCTTATAGGATATTTATAAGCATATAAACATTTTTTCCTCAAATGCTGAGCCACTTAGAATCTTTCCTTTTTCTCAGACTTACAAATATTCACCTTGATAAAAAAAAAATTCTCTTTTTTGTTATTCTTTATCATACTTAGCAACTGTAAACATACCCATCTGTGGATTATTTACATACACAAAAGCTTTCATTTTCTTCATTTTCTTTTTAAACCCTCATTTATGTTTGAGATTTATCTCTCTACAATATCAATGCTCCTTCTTTGCCAACATGTAACTGATAAAAGCATGCTCTGCACTGTAATGGAAGTCCCTTGAGATTTTGGAAAATGTGTCTAAATAATAGGTTCTTGTACTTCTTGTGGTAAATGTTCAGTGACATTTTCTCACGATGAGCCAAACCATGCATCATTGTGCAGATGCTCCAAGGACACCACTGCAAACTGTATGATATCCTATCCAGTCTGGTAAGAGGTCAAACATAGCAGAGGGTGAGCCACAGTGGCTAACTCAATGACAGGCTAAGGAAGGGGATAAAATTATGTGGGTGGAGGAAAAAAGAAAAAAGAAAAAAAGAAGAAAACATAAGTAAACAGAAAGCCAACCCTATTCTAAGCAGTACTTTACAGTACAGTTTACAGGACTAAAAGTGAGACATGAAAGAAAGCCACAGATTTTGCATGCTTGCAGAGCAGGCCACCAACGTAAGTGATGGTGCAAGAGGCCAGCTACTCTGCTCTGGAGAAGGTGGAAGCTGTAGGAGCTATAGCTGCTGTAGTCACAAGCCCAGCATACCAGATGTTTGTACAAGAAACATGGGTCTTAAATAGAACACCAGATAAGCAAATGAATTCCCTTTGGAACAAGGGCTAGAAGCCATGTTTCCTTCTCCTTCCTTCAGTCTGCCAGCACCTGTTCCCTTGGCCCCTCTTGCCTTTGCTTTTTTCCTATTTGTCCTCCCCACCCTGCCCAGTGAAGCTTAACTTCTTTTCTAAAACAGCTCCACCCACTCAGACGATAGCAGTTCCACCGTGGAACATCCTAGTGGTTAAGCTACTCCCAAGAAACATGCCGATGGGGTGTGAAATCTCCTTTCCTCCAGCCACCATCTGGCAAGTGCTCTAAGCTATATAAATACAGTGGGTTGCTCCATGAGCTGCTGATGTTTTAAAGCATGGTAGCAATCAATGATCAAAGGGACACAGGTAAAGAAAGGCACAGGTCTTGGCCAAGTAAAGGAAAGTGCATGATTTTTGCTCAAACAGCAAAGCCAGACTCTGTGTAATTCAGAAGTTCATATCAAAATCCAGGTCACCTGCAATACGGTACCGCCACCAGGATTAGGCAGCAGCCGCACATAAGCTTTCAGGACCATTCTGCCACAGGGGACTATGTTGCACAGTGCCAGGGGTCTCACTTTAGAAATTTCTTTTTTTCAGAATCCAAACTTGCTTCCGAAATGGACTTTGTGGGGCCCATATGTCATCCAGAGCAGAGAGACACTTTAGGAATTATTCAGGAACAATAATCAGATAAGCACCCAAGACTCAGCTCTTCAAAATAACTCTGATTCACATCTGTGGTTCTTTTTCTAAAGGATCAGACTGGCTGTTAAATAAAGGACATAATCACAAAACTGTTGTTCCAGAGACATTTGAAATCAGGGATGGAACTAAATATTTCTATTCAATGAAAAACAAAAATTTTCCTATGCAAGTCCATGTAGCAGTGCCAACTATTCCTGGTCCCTTCCTTCTACAAGCACATTTGTATGGGGTGGGAGGGCAAGGAAGGTGAAAATCCTGCAACTAAACCCAAATTGCTTTAGAGCTCACTCCATACCACAGAAGTCTTGGCCGTGCTATTTTGGCTTCCTTGATGGGCAACACTCTACTACATAGTAGCTACATAATAATTAGTCTGAATAAATAATTTCTCAGAATTTATGACAGATTATTTCTAAGCATAGGTTCAGAAATCAAAAATACTTGTTCGGTTTCTAAGGTATACTGGAACTTGTGTGCAAAAGTATTTCCAATTTAGTTAACAAACTATTAAAAGTAGAAAATTTTCAAACCATCATCAATATTGTACCAAATAACTCTAAAATATAAGAAAACACAGACATATTCGGCTTAATATTTAAGTGACCCGATCAGCTCCAAAAATATAACAAGCATTGGTAGTGTAAGTAACATTCACTAAATTGTTTGGAAGATGAAATAATCTGAGGTTTAGAACGATGTCCTCCCCCCATTTGTCTCTTTCCAGCTATAAGTAAGACATATTGTAAAATACCACCATCTCACCACTATTGAAAAGGAAATATTTTCAATTTATATTAAAAGGCATACATTATAAATAACGGGAAATGATAAAATATGGTTATGAAACCAAGTAAAACAAGTTATGAAGACAGTCAAGGCCAGGTTGGACAGAGTCTCGGGTGAGATGGTTTAGTGTGAGGTATCCCTGCCCATGGCAGGGGGGTTGGAACTAGATGACCTTAAGGTCCTTTCCAACCCCTGCAATAAGCAGCACCATACAAGAAATCACCTATTAGGCAATACTAATTATTCAAATTATTTATTCAAACTCCCTATTTGGATAAAGGAAATTAGTTGCAACCAGTTTGCCTCATTACACTATTGACTTGTGCCTCTCCTGATGATTCCTTGGTTCTATATAAAGAGGATGTATTGCAGGGTAACACAGGTAAGCCAGCACTAAAAAAAATATAAAAAAGCTGTAACTGTTGTATTTAAAAGTACAACAGAAGTTCTTCAAAAGTTTACAAAGTCCTCAATAAAGTTCTATGTTACAGTTACATATCCGTTTTAAAAGAAATCTAAGGATTAATTCTTTAAATATTTTACTAATTTTTTGAAGCAAGTTATCTTCAGATTAAAAACAAAAACAAAAAAAAGAACCAAACACACTCTCTTGACCAGACTGCTCTTGCTCAAATCAATTAATTCACTAGAAAACGTACGACTGGAAAATGAGAGAACTTGCTCTGTATTTGGGGGTATAAAGCACCAGTCCTCCTTTAGTAGCCTTGCTTACTAGCATATATTAATAGCATTTGTTGTGCAGTCACCGCATCCAAAAGAACAGATTATGCCCTGGGCAAACGATAAAAAAAGGGGTTTCTTGTTTGCTTTTTTTGCTTGTTTTCTTTAAACAAAGGAGTCACAACCAGTGACTTCATTCCACTGTATCTTGTCTTTTGGCACTGATATAAAGTCATCTCTAAAAGATGCCACAATCAAGATTTTTCTGGTCCTAAAGGATAGCCTTCAGGCTAACAAATCTCACCCATTTTTAAACGGTACATATCTAAACTGTTTACAAGCTTTTAGTCAAGATTAAATAACATGAAGTTACAGATAATCCTGTTCCTTAACATTTTCATCTTTTAAAATGAACCAAAGGTATGGGTATATCAGACAGTTATGGGAAGCCAGATCAGTGGATGACTAAACACAAGAAACTACAGGCAGTCACATGCTCTTTCCTTTCCCGAGAAGCAGGGTAGCTTGACCTTTGTTTCTAAGGTGGGGTAAGAAGGTGCTCCAGAGTATCTAAACAGTCTGAATTCACACCAACTTGCTTATGCAGCCAGGTCTTTCATTTTCAAATTAAGGTGTAATTCAAATGCAACTGCTTCTTATTTCTGTAACTACTCTTCCTAGAAACACCCTTTAACAATGAAGCATGTTTATATTTGAAAAAGCCTTCCTTCTATTTTCTGGTTTTAGGTTCTTTTTCGGTTGTGGTGGGTTTTTTGGGGGTTTGTGTTTTGGGTTTTTTTTCTTAATGGCTGCTACTGCCTACAAACAGTATCAACAAAACCACTGTGGTTCAGACTTTGTAATCCTTTGGTCAAAATAAAGTAACCCTCTTTTCCAAAAATTCATACACGAACTGCTTGGTCTCCACTGAATCTTACAGGAGCTCAGACAGCCAACAAGAAGTGGAAATTAGATAAACTTCTTAGGGACAAAGCAAGATTCTTCAGTATCAAACAACCAAGATGCTAAAAGGATATCTTTACGTGTATTAACAGCCCACAGCTCCCACATATAAAACTGGACACTATTAGTGAGTATGAAAGAAATACAGACTAGAGAACCAGAGCAGCTGGTAAGTCTTAGCTAAATATAAGAAGCTTCTACTGTTTCCAGGCTACCAGACTGCATTATATGTATCATATTTTCATAGAATCATAAAATGTCTTGAGTTGGAAGGGACCAACCCCTGTGCCACAGGCAGAGGCACCTTCCACTAGACCAGCTTGCTCAAAGGCCCATCCAACAGGCCTTGAACACTGCCAGGGATGGGGCACCCACAGCTTCTCAGGGCAACCTGTTCCAATGCCTCACCACTCTCAGAGTGACTTATTTTTTTCCTTGTATCTAACCTAAATCTACTCTTTTTCAGCTTAAAGACATTCCCTCTTGTCCTATCCCTACATGCCCTTGTAAAAAGTCCCTCTCCAGCCTGCAGTACTGGAAGCTGCTCTAAGAGCCTTCTCTTCTCCAGGCTGAACATGCCCAGCTCTCTCAGCCTGTCTTCACAGGAAAAGTGCTCCACCCTCTGATCATCTTCATGGACCTCCTCCGGACTCACTCCAGCAGGTCCACATCCTTTTTACGTTGAGGGCCCCAAACCTGGATGCAGTTCTCCAGGTGGGGTCTCACAAGAGTGGGACAACCACCTCCCTTTACCAGCTGGTCACGCTTCTTTTAATAGATTGCCTTTCTGAGCTGCAAGAACACATTGCCAGGTCACACTGAACTCCTTGCCAACCAGCACCCCCAAGTCTTTATTCTCAGGGCTCTTTGCAACCCAGTTTCTGCCCAGTCTGTATTTGTGCTTGGGACTGCCCTAGCTCAGGTGCAGGACCTTGCACTTTGCTTTGTTGAACTTCATAAGGCTGGCACTGCCCCACCTCACGAGCGTGTCAAGGTCACTCTGGATGGCATCCCTTCCCTCCAGGATACAGCCGAACCACACAGCTGGGTGTCATCAGCAAACTTGCTGAGGGCGCACTCAATCCCACTGTCCATGTCACCACCAAAGATGTCGAACAGGATCAGTCTCAACACCGACCACCGAGGAACACCACTCATCACTTGTCTCCACCTGGACATCGAGCCATCGACTGCAACTCTCTCAGTGTGGTCCACTACCTCCACCAGTATTAAATGTAGATCAAAGAAGCAGCAAAAAGCAGCAAACAGTGCTAAGGAGTTTCCATAATCTGCAATTGCTGCATTGGACTTTTCAGCAGCATGAAAGTTCAGGACTTCTTAGCATTATAAAATAAAGTAAATATGTATCTCTGCAGCCACAATGTCAAAGTTTCAGAGTTTCTGGGGTAGGCCCCCAAGTTTACAAGAAATCAGTGGTACTGAAGCTGGTATGTTTGCACTATTATGCAGGCTGGTTTTTACCAACTAGACCGTTATCTCAACAGAAGTTGTTGAAGATAAGGGTTTTTTTAACTGTCAATCCCAGTGACTAGCTATCATAGAATAAGATGGAGAGGCAGGGGAAACTGCTGGATTTCCGGAGCATCCCACAAAACAAGGCACAAGAGACAGCTGACAGTGGGTGACACAGGGAGTGTCACCCACTGTAATTATTTGAAGGGATTTATTTATTAAATTACTTCCTGAATAACTAAAGATATTTTTTGTCCTTTCTGTTTACAAAGGAATCTATAACGATATTCTGCTATAGGCATAGTATAAGGTGGGACAATCTATAACTCCAACATACTTCCAAATAAATTCGAGGTAGTTTATTAAGATTAACATGGTTCTGCATGAACATACCTTAGACAATGATCAGATGTAACATGAAACAGAAAACAAGGAAAGGAAAAAGAAAGAGAGAACAGTACAACCTTCCATTTTAAGGCACAGGCTCTCCAGAGTATCCAGCCACCACACAGCCACACTCAACCACCAGTGCCTTCACACCAGCATGCTTAGCAGAAGTCTACTGTAAAGACACTAACACAAAACCTGATAAAAGAAAAAACAAAGCACAAGAATTCAAAACTTACCTTTTCCAAGATGAATTTGTTTAGATAAGGCATGTAACCCTGATTGGAAACTGGTCCTTCATCATCATCCCTAAAGTGCTCTTCCAAGGCCACTGGATCATGGGGAACATTTAACACTGTGCACAAATTGTGAGAAAGGACCTAAGGACAGAAAAGAAATCCATGACAATGCTGTTGGCATTAACCATGCTGTGCTGGCTCCAGAGCAGGCCTATCTTTCGCAAAACCATGTGCAAAGCCACATGCTCATGTCAGCACAAATTGTAGATTTGCGTCAAAAAGCAAAAACATAACTAAAAAAGTTGACTCCAAGGACTCAATGGCTTGAAACAGTTGCGCGTTTATAGAAGTAATGCAATCACAGATAGGTCCATTCCTACAGAAGGGCAAACACAGCTACAGAAGCTACCCATTGTCCATATATACTTACGCACTGAAAACAAGGAGAGGCATGCAGAAATGCCAAAGTAATATTTACAGAGTGAAATTAGAGAGCTACAGAAAACAACCACAAACACCTAGCCTTTGAAATTATATTTACTATCTAGTGAAAATGAGTAACAAATAGAACAACTCAATATGTACATTTAGTTTACAAAGAAATGACCACTCAAAGCATTAACTATGAGTTTCTCTCATCTGCTGCTCAACATTCACCCCATTTCAGTTGGCAAAGTACGTTATAGGAAGGGGAAGGGTTTGATGTGCTTCTCAAATTTTTATTTTTAAAAGGTATTTGCATAAATTATGTCAAGAACTTAACACCCACAAGCACTCATGTCTGTTCTTGAGAAATGACCTTCTAGAAGAGGCTACACACTTGATTAGTTTTGAGGAAGCACTGAATTATTGAAAACTAACTGGTAGCAAACACATCTTCTTCAATTCAGGCCAAGTTTTGCATGTACAGACTAACGCCTGGGTACCAGCATTTCCTGTGTCACCAGCACTTTCCCATCTCTTTCATGTTCATACTATCTCACGTCAGGTCAGCTCTGTAACATGCTGACCATTGAGTCACTCAGGAGCTGTCTCCTCTTTGCATGATACGAATGAAGCCTCTGGAGATCATGTACTGACTACAGAAACTGGGTTAAGGATTTAGCCTCACATGCCCAGGAATGGTCTGCATTGAAAAAAAATGTAATTAAGAACCAAAGGCAAGAATACAGTAAAAGCAAAATCAGGCAGAAGTAAAACAGGCTGCATTTTCGGAGGATGAAGCAAGGAGCTGGCTGGTGTTTCCTCCACCAAATGACAGGACAAGAGGTAACAGCCTCAAGCTACACCAGGGGAGGTTTAGATTAGATATTAGGAAAAATTTCTTCACCAAAAGGGTTGTCAAGCATTGGAACAGGCTGCCCAGGGAAGCAGTGGAGTCACCACCCCTGAAGGTATTTAAATACACATAGACATGGCACTTCAGGACACGGTTTAGTGGTGGACTTTGGCAGTGCTGGGGTAATGGTTGGACTTGATGATTTTAAAGATCTTCTCCAACATAGCTGATTCTGTGATGCTATGATTTTGAAAAGGCACACTGCTTGTGGTATTTGTTTGCTTTAAATCAACAACTAGACTGGACAAACTGCAACTGAATTTCGTTTTTTACTTTTTCACTGTGCAGCATAAAATAATAATTAAAAAAAATAGACCCAAATGATGCATAAAGACAGCAATAAAAAAATGTGCAGAAAATTTACACGTGGATTCTTTAGGCAAGAAGACCTAAAGTGGTAGAGATGAGGTAGCTGAAAAACAAGAACTGAAAGTCTGAAGTTGTCAAAGCCTAGGAAACCAAACCTCAGCCACACACTTAAAATGTCTGGGCTGCCACCCCCTCCATCATGATGTATATTTACTTTACATATGATGTATGATAAAGAGGCATGTAGAATCTAAGTGCTAGTTAGCATAAAATCCTACACAGACAGCCCAAGATGCAAGTTCAATTGAATATTCCTTTCTACATACCTCCAAAGTTACATTTTATTTTAGAAAAGCACACATTTCCATGAGTAATACTTAACGTTCATTGCCATATGCTAACATTAGGCCACTGGAGCTAACAAGGTGCAGAAGTTTAAAAAGCAGAAAAACAATAGCATCAGTCATACTACAACAAAAGCTGTATTTCCCAAAGCAGCAATACAGTATTCAGAAGTTACCACATTCCATGCTACCCTCCATCAACAGTGTATTTTCTTTCAATCTATCTTTATCTTTAATCACTGCATTAAATCAAGTATTTGAGACCATGTGATTTACATGTGGAGTGAGGAAAACATACTATCATGCGTGTTTCCCCTTCTATTTAAGGCTTCTGTTGTTATTTATAGGAGACTGAGGGATTCTTGAATTTCTGAGAGAGACGGATGAACTCAGTTTTCCAACCAGACCGTAGTTGCTAAAACTGTAACTAAAAAAAAATATTCAGCTAATAAAAATATTCCAAAAGCATAACTGATTTATGCTTATTACTCAAATAACTTAAAAGCCCCAATAAAACACTTTCTGATTGTTTCCTTCCTACATATTTCTCTTCTCCCTTCTTCAGCCTTCTTGCTATGTTGGGCTGCCAGAAACCTAGGTGCTTTCCACATCAAGCACCCAATTTACCAGGAACAAATTCCACTTTCAGTCGTTTTCTAAGATCTGCCTTATCTGAGATCTCTCCTGTGCCCAGTGCTCTCTTTTCATAATTCAGGAAATTCCTCGGTGCCTGCCAAAGCCTGCCTTTCTCTAAAAGGGCCAAGTGCCAGCTGAATTCTTCAGTTGCCAGCTGAGCCTGACAAATTCTGCACTGAGGTCTCATTTGGTTTTGTTCTCTCAAAGCACATTATCTGGACCATAGTATACTCTAGTTTAATGATCAATTTGGAAAATAAATAAATAAATAAATAAATTTAATACTAGGTTAACTGGGGTATGAAAAATTGCCTTGCCTTGCAGAAGCTCTGTAGACCATGAGAAAGTTTTGCAGCAGTAAGGATTATTCCCCTTGTGCCCACAGGGTTGCTAGGCAGCTTTTTCTGTCAGCACTTATTATGCTCAGGACGCCACGTTTAACAATTTACCTTCATGCCAGAGTCAACTCCTACCTTAGCTCAGAGACTCATCTCTGTGCTACAACAAATGGGTACAGCAGCAGTCCCCAGACTGCAGTCCATGAGACAGTACAAGCAGTCTGCAGAGGGCTCACAAAACCAATGCTCTCTGGGCACAATTCTTTCATTTTCAACAAGAAACTCTGTAAGAAAGATGCCTAGTGGTGCCCATGGAATACTGAAGGTGTTCTGCATCCAATCTAAATAATCAGAGGAAACAAGCATTACAGAACAGACTATGGATTTGCTTTATTTATGGCCAGTCCCCTGTTGCTTTAACTGGAGTGCAGATCTTCAGCGCACCTATACTCTGCCACAGTGGCTCCCCCCTGAGCTACCACTTTCCAAAACTGATCTTCCAAAACTTTAAGCACGTGTTGAATTGTTACCATCTGATTATTTCCATTTAACCTTGTTCATAAAAGTGATCTGTGTTTCTAAAGGGAAAAGGAAGACCTGCTAGACTACTTACTGTTCAGCAACAAAAATTTGGCCCAGATGACAGGCAGGAGCATTAACAGGGCAGATTAATCCTAGAGCAGCTATTGTCAGTTTCTTCAGCACTTTTTCCTTTTCCATCTTTCAGGGAGGTCTCCCCCCTCCCCCATCTCTTTTTCAGGTTTTAAAACGTTGGCATCACATATCCCAACAGCTCCATTAAGTGGCTTTGTGTGAATTCATTCCAAGACATTCTTGGCTCATCTCTCCCTGACGTCCATGTCAGCAGCTATCCAGCCAAAATAAGGCTACTCAAGTACTTTCCCTTTTCCTTTTTTGACCAGTGTGAAACTAGCATCATGTATGTCACTTGTCACTGGCACAAGGTCTTTTCAACCAAGGTGCATCTTAAGTATACAGTTTCTTGCATCACAGCATCTCCAAGGTATAGCTTCCTTATCCACTCAGGTAGCAATCTGGAGTCTTATCATTCAACATTAGAGTCTCCTTATTTAACAACAGGGTTAAGTGCATCAATCTCTCTGCCAGTTGGATGAGTGTATTCAAGCCTGGCATCCACAAGCTCCAGTTCCTGATACTAATGCCTTTGCTCACATCACAGTTCTGTTCCCTCATTTGCTCCCTTCTCCTTTGGGCTCTCACAGACCCTTTGTCACCATTTTTGACAACCACTTGCCTTCATTATCAGCACAATCCCTCTGGCCCCCAATCACACACTGGTGCCAACCTGCATCTGTCCATTTACCAAGGGAATTGCCTTTCTGCCCTGCAGTTCCCAATCCTTAAGAAGAGCTCCTGGTAAACATGCTCCATCTACTGTGTCTTTATTCTACATCTTCCTTGAAACCAATTGACAAAATCTCAAGGACAAAGGCTAAACAGGCTGCTGATCCACCAGCAGCTGCTCCTCTCAAACACAGCATCATGGACCCATCATTCCCTAATGTCCCGTTAGATCTGCCTCTCTCTTTTGGAAGAGAGGCACCCCTCCCCTCACACCTTATAGACACAATTCCTCATGGCTACCCTAATACAAACACTTCTGAGCCCTGTTAATAATGTCAGAGTACAACTCCCTCATGTGAGTCATAATGACTAATTTCCTACCATCCTTCAACATTGTACAAAGTCAATTGTCCGGCTAGGGTCCTGCCTACTTATGACAGGCTCTCAACCCTTCCAGTGCCTTGCTACATTGTTCAAGGTCTTCCTCTCCCTCCATTCGGACCATCCCTCTTGCCCCTGATTACACCATTCTTCCTCTTCCCACTGACCACTGACTTTCCATTTAGTAAAAAGACAAAGCACAGATAAGAGGTGTAATAATCCTGTAACAACCCAGATGTAATTCCAGACTGGTACAAATTTTCTAAGCCTAACTAGTAACTTTGGCCCTCATATTAAGGGCCCAAATGAGACTGTTTTCACGAGGCGCTCACCCATCCCCATTCTGCAGATACCACGTCAGGAATCCAAGACTTTGAAAATCCAGCCCACTGTAGCACACAAAACAAAAACAAGAACAGTCAAATAACCCCACTGCCTAAGCAGAGACAAGTCATAAAGCAATGTAAGGAAGAGAGAGTGTAAAAACTAATTGGTATGTATTCTTTCCAAGATCCAATCATATGCACCTACTACAAGGGGTTTTGCTGGCTGTTAAACATGATTACATTTAAAACCACAGTGTTTCAAGACCCACATGAAAAGCAGATTTAATGTTGGCACACTACAGGAATTTTTAAAATAAGACAACTTTAAAATTGCAGATTGCAAGAAAGATTAAATTGGATTTAAATACAGGAAAACAAGTATTTGCATGTAGCTTGTGCTCGAACCACATCAGCAGCTATCACTGCATACACAGAACTTACAATTTATCCTTCCTGTATCAGGGCTTGAAAGTACTGAAACACACTGACAAAATTATTGTGTCCATATTTAAAGGTGTATTTAAGAATAGAATATGCAAATGTTTCTGCTAATACAGAAAAAAAGGGTACGCTCTGCAGCCAGCATAACAGTAGAACTTCTGAAGATCACTCATTAAAGGAAAATAAAATCAGAGCATACTGGAAGAAGATAATATTCGAAATTGCACAGAGGACTGATTTTAACTGTCTCCTCTCAACAGCTTAGACCATATACAAAAAAAATACAAATAGATAAAAGACAATTGAGGAAATCCTTACTATTCTAAGCAAGTCTTAGTTTTTCCTCCAAGGGTGTGCTGTTCCTCCAGACTATAAAATAGACCCAACTGACACACCACCCCTTTGCTCTAGATACATTAAAAACAAATGTGTGATGCAAACCTTTCACAGTAGGGTCTCGGCTCGTAGTAGTTAACGAAGATGATGTATTTTTATGGAAGGCTCAAAGATCACTTCTAGGTAGAGAAACTAGAAATCACTTTCTTTAACAACCAACATGTTACACTTAGGACCTTCTGTTCAACATGATGGCAATATGTTATACTGGATTATACAACTCAAAGCTCCATTATGTTTTCTCATTGAGGAAGGAAGAGTTCAGCAGGTTACAACACTGCATGCCATTATCAGAAAACAAAGTTTTTTACCACCTTTTTAATAACAGGAATTTCACTAATTAATCAACATATTTTTCTAATGCCACAGATCTCTACTAACCTGTTTCTCTCCAAGCTCCATCTCTCCTTTTTACAAGGGTGCTATATCTTCCTCATGGTAATGTGGATGAGAAATACTTTATAGAGAAACACTTTCTCAATACAACATAGGCCTGCACCAATCAGACAGGAAGTTCTGTTTTGATGTCCTGTCTACCCTTTTTGCTGCACCCATGTGGGGCTAATGCCATAACACATGCCTTTTCTCCCCAGCAGGACTATCATTTTGACATCACACTCATCGTTTGCCACAAAAAAACCTATGGAAGAGTACTCTCTACCCCTCTGTATTTCCTGAAACTTAACTCTTGATGGCGATAGGACAAGGCAGCAGCCGCAATTCAGGCTTGTTTCTGCATTCCAGATCCCCCACTTGACACTTCCCTTGGGAGTCATTATATCATAGACAGAACTGCACAGACCCAAAGAGACCCACTTTTTCTTCATCCCTTCTCTCTCATGGACAGACAGAATGAAACATCAAAACTGTTTAGGAAGATGTTTGACAGGTAATGAGGGGACAAATTTAATTTCCCTTCCTTTTTTCTTTTTTTTTTTTTTAACCTTTTTTTTTTTACCCTTTTTTAAACACACAGCATTGGAGCCATGCTGCTCTAGTAAGACAACAGAGCATGAGAAGACAGGTAACTGCAGTTCAGTTTGGAAATAAAACTGCTGCTATAATCCACCTAAGGTCAGTCAATGATCTTAAAGAACTGATGATACCTCCACAAGAGCAACTGTGCTCGCAAATGCTCCACCACAGCATCCTGGCTGCTTCTTTAGCCATTTAATTCACCTTAGCACGTGTATGACCACAACAGCTTCTCCCCGACCAGCATGACAACACATGCTGCCAACACACGTTGCCAACACACCTCCCACTTGAACATACTGACCGCACAAGGTGTGGTAGTGTGACAGGAAAACAGGATTCCTTTAAAAAGCAGGACAATAAAAACACCACTCTGCAACCTATTTCAGCTAGTCCTGCAACACTGCAATGTAAGTACTTGCTTTCATTGTGCTACCTGTAGAAGACAGGACCTGCACACATTTTCAGCTTGAGCTCACAGTCAGGTCCAGCCTCTTGCCTGACTCCTGCCCCACAGTCACTTCTGGACGAGTTAGGCTGTATCTCATGGCCCGATCACCCGGAGCGAAGAAAAGGAGAAGAGGAAGAGGCTGCTTGCAGCATGCTGTGGACACTTATTACATAGTAATGCTGAAAACAAAGTCCATTAGCTACCGACCACACATGTAAATACCGCCTGCAGCAAAGCCACTCTTGCTCGTGGAGTTGATCCCACCAAGGGTGCAAACTTTAGCTAACTGCTGTGGCTGACACAACTCCAGCGCTCAGTACAAGGACCCAGTCTTGTACGTCAACAGGTGTCGTGTTCTTATTCAAAATATTTATTTAGCCAGATTTCTGCTATTACTTCCAGGCCAAGATGGTCCCATAAAGCAAGGCCAAGATGGGATCAGATTCAGCGAGCTGCCTGAGAGCTCTTTTAAGAGCACAAACATTACTTCAGCATATAAGCTGAAGAAAGAATGGCACAGTTGGAGCCTCTTGACTAATTCTCCTGTTTATATCCAAATAAGAGAGCACTGTGAAACTGCGCTCTCCCTTGGCAAGCTATGAATTTCACTTGGACGCAGCCAACCCCTATAGATGGGACCTTGTGGCTACCCGTCAAAAGATTTTGGCCAGAAAGGGTACCAAGGACATGCGGTTGAAAGCAGACCGGAAGCACAACAAGGGTTTGTGCATGCACTGACAACTTGGGAAGATGAAGCACTTGCCTGGGCAGAATGAAAATAAGCCTGCTCAGGCGTGAGGAAGGGCCCATGCAAACTTCCTCTGGGATGGAGGCATTCAGGAGCCACAGAAGCCGGCAATACCATGTGATGAACGACAGCCGCAATGGAGCAAGTATCACCTAGGGCACCCAAATGGGTTTTGAAATTGGGGGCTGTCCCCCATTGCCCAGCTCCAAGTATGACCACCTCAGGCAGGCCCCCTGGCCCAGCACCCGCATGCCCACTGTGGAGGCAGCTGGTGGTGACAGCACAGGCCCATGTCATGGCTTCTCACGCCCATGGCAGCAGCCCCTCACACCCACACCAGGCCCCGGCCCTACACCGTGTCCCCTGGGCTCACCACCCCTCTCCCCTCACTGTCCCACTTGCCTTGAGCTGGGACTTGGAGACCTTCCCGCTGCGATCGAGGTCGAGGGCGGTGAAGGCGTGCCAGATGGACTTCAGCAGCTCCTCCTTGAGGCCCACCATGGCCGGCCCGCGGCAGCTACCGCTACCGCCGCCTCGCTCCCTCCGCCGCTCCCGCTCTGCCTTCGCCTCGGACAGCCCCGCCGCCGCCGCGCCCGCCCCGGGGCCGGGTGCCCAGCCCCGCCCGACCCAGCAGGCGCCGCCCCGGGACTGCGCGCGTCCCGCCTCGGAGGCCGGGGCCGAGGGGCCGCCTCCGGCGCCCAGGAGAGCGGGATCTCGGCGAGGGAGGCCGGAGCGGCTCCCGCTGAAGTACCTGCCACAGCAGGGCCGGCTCCGCGCCTCCCGAGAGGCAGCGGCTGACTGCGGCCCGCGGCTGTTCGCACGGGAGACACCGCCCCATGTGCACAGTACCGTACGCTCATACCGCGACAAGTGACTGCCCTCAGAAACTGTTTCAGAGAACAGCTGGCAAGGAAGACTTGCGTACAGCTGGAGCAAATGGAGGTCAATCGAAAATAGTGGGGGGAGGGCCAAAAAACCCCAGAGTTCACCACTACTTATAAACCAAGAGTGGCACAAAGTGTCATCAAGCAGGATAAGCTTTGCTGTTGAGCTTTGGAAGGTGTTTTTGTGGTGGGGGCTTGGGGGGTTAAATCTCACCTGTTGCAGGTTCAGACTAAGCAACACTGAGAGCAGTGACTGGGTGAGGACTTCAGATGTCCCCACAGTCCCTATGCTTTCTAGCAGAACCCTCAGTGGTGTTTCTCTGCTAACAATAGGGTTAGAGTTGCTTCTAGGCCAGAAGAGGCAGGAAGATAATGGTGAAGTTTATAGTGCTTTGAATACTGTATCCAAGATCATTCACAGTACACAGGTCAAGGTAAGGTTTCATTCTCATGGATTTTAAGCCAAACCATTAAGATCCTGCATTCAAGATACATAACAAACAAAACAAACAAACAAAGATACTCACTTTTGTCCAGTTTTAGCCTTCATTTAACCGCATCATCAGAACAAAAATAGAACACTGCAAGTGGCATACTTCTGGCAGGTACACAAGATGATTGTTTTGCACAAGGTGGTGCCGGTTCATTACAATCCCAGTAAGAAAGGCACTCAGACTCTCAAGTATCACATAAAATACCATTTATTTGAGCTAAGACTAGAATAGAGAAGACAGTAGAGATAATCTTACATTTCTTCCGGTGCTGGGAAGCCTCAGCAGCATCACCCACATCTCTGATCAAGGTGCAGCATGTCACACAGGCCCTGCCCAAGGTAAAGTTCCACCATTTTGGTCATTTAAGCTAATACAGGGTTTTCTTACAAGAAAACAACTCTATACATTGTTTCTAGTACCAAACAGAAAGGATGTTCACATGTCAACCTCTTGCTGCATTTTCAGATAATGGGCAGACCACACAGCAGGGGTAATCACAGGTACAGAGCAGGAGCTGCCTGCAGGCTCCTCTGGTACAATCAACCACATCAATTTACCCCATAGCCATGAGGCATACACAGTCCCAGGTGGACCAGGAGGCCAGGCTGGACTGCCAGCGCAGTATAGCACAGGGTTGAGTAGGCACAGCCTGATTTAGATGGATCACTAATCCTCAGTGTACAATGGTCATCTGGGCAGGACCACTACAGATAAACACATAGCCAAGTCCACTGTAGGAAGTACTTTCACTTCTCATATGTGGTAATACATAAAATGAGTTTTCTGTATGTGGGAAATTGGAGACTAGAATCATCCACAGATTTCCAGTAATTTTTGTCCTTTAGTGTCTTCTTTAGCTTACAGCAAGCAACAAAAATGTTCTGGCAATGCAGAGACATCATAGTCTCTCAGTAGCACAGTGCCTTATTCATTGGGCATATCCTTGCAGCCTTTCCCCCTCATTTTTCTTAACCTTTTTCCTCCAGAGTTTATTCAGGACTTTGGAATCCACAATTATTTATACTCTTTCCTCAGGATGGGTGCTGAGAGCTATATAATTAACAAAAAGTTAATTTGATTAAATTTCTTACTGAACCTGATTTGCTAACATTATAGCTGTTAGTACTACCAGAAAAATCTGTTATTGTGAAATAGGTATCTTACCACTTGCAGCTAAGGCATTTCTCCAATTTGACCACAGCTATTCCACTTAAGGAGGAAAGAGATGACTTTTGTATATGCAGATAACCTAGCAAACCTGTGTTATTTGGTAGCCAAGCAACCACAAGGTCACCAGTAAATAAAGAACATCCCTATTAAATTACATTAAAATACAGTTAGGTTCTGGGGAATGTTGCTGAGGAAAAAGCAATTCATAGAGTTCACACATGAATCTCCTCATGACAGGGACAATTTCTGTTTTGAACAGACTTCAGTGATTTTTTTGGCAGCTCATTTTTATAAAAATGATAGAGTGGAAAAATGAAACTAAACCAAAATGTCCCACAAAATAATTGTAAAAACAACCCTATGTGCTTCTCTTCATTTTACCTTCATTCTTTTTGCTCACTTCTATTATTCCAGATTTAAATGACATGCTGAAATCCTTTACCAGAACAGGACTTCTTTTCCACTAAGAATATAAAGAGTTCCATTCAGGTCAATAAGTTAACAGTCAATGCTAGAAATGTTTCATTAACATGAGTAGTTTATATAAGCCTCAGCCACTCCAGCTTTTAGTAGGGTAGTCAAAAGGATACTTACAAGTTACGCATAAAACTAGTACAATGTATAGGATTGAGCTAACAGAGCAAAACCAGTTAAACTCAAGTTCGTAGGCAGAAAAACTTGCTGTTGAACAAAACCTTTGTTTTTCTTACTTACCCAAAATAGCTTTAACAAAGTTACAGGACTAACTGCATCCACACCCAAAGCGTGAGTTATTTTAAGCAGCTCTTCTGTTTTAATATGCTAGTCTAGATCTTTGCTTATGAAAGACTTTACATTCTAAAGCTTTGAAGATAAGATTGATATATAATCCATAGAACATTAATTAACAGTGATCACATTAACCATTAAGTCTTTGATATCACTACATAAACTCCAAATGGTTTGCATGGTACAAAAGTAAGGTCTGATGCGACTTAACATACTTCTGCTTTTCTTGAAAGTTGTCCAAGATCTCAGCAACTTTATTTAAATCTGTGCTTATTCTAATCTTGTTTGCTTACCACAGTCAAAACCACGACTGAAGAGTGGCAAGGACATCAGGGAGGGAAGACTGGCTCACAGCCCCAAAGAGTGACTCACAGTTTCAGGAAGAAGCTTTAGACCCTGCTGAGGATCAGCCTTAAGACGTCAGTCACTTCTCCTCCTCCCTGCAGAAGCTTAATTACTCCTTGTTAGCCAAATAATAAGTATTTCTCAGGGAGGTTTGAACCAGAGGAAAGATTACGCATTTGAACTGTTACTAATTTTGTGTTATGCCACTGAGTCAGTTAAACTGCCATCAAGGAAAGAATTCAGACACATCAGCAACTCACTGTTTTCTGCTTACTGTTAGCCCAGAGAAAAACTTCCTGAACTGTAGAATGACCAGTCATTTTCATTCTCCAAAGGAAAATTTAATTGAAGCAAACAGAAATTGAAGATCATTAAGCCAAGTTATCAGCATTATAGTCTGTGAACAGAGCAGTCCAATCGTACATATCAAAGAAGCACTGAAGGACAGTAAGTGCATTTGACATTATACCGTAGCCCAGTCCTCAAACCATTTGAGGACTTTGTTTTTTTATTATTTTTAAATACTTTAACAAGTTTTATCTCTGTCCTTACACACATGCCTCAGTCTCGCTAGAACTACGTAGAAATTGAGCATGAAAATTATTTTAGGTGAAACAGGAAGTAGCCTTAGATGCTGAATCAGAATGGCAGCTCAGTCCCTCCTACAAAAAAAAAAAGTAGATTTTCTATCCACTTCTAAGACTTCTAGAGAATCTTCAAAGCAATTTCAGCAAAGCACTCCTGCTTTACTAGACTTTTTTGCTATTTATACACTCATGCACAACACATACATTTCTATTCAAACTTGATGAAAAAAAACAATGAAGAGGTAGACTAGAGAGCATTAACTTACCTTCCTGGTCCTCCCTGATAACACACATATTACTCTTCACTTGCAGCTGATAAAGTATTTCTCACCAAGTTACAGAACTAATCATAGAACAGAATGCCACAGATATCTTACTTGCAGAAAGAAAGAGGAAATTAAATCCCAGGTGTCTACTGCAGTAACTATCTGGGGATGGAAACTGGAGAAAGAAATGGTCAATGGAAAAAGCTGTTAAGCAGGGTTTGTGTAGAAAACTGACAAACAGTATTGACTTAGTTACCAAAAGGAAATTAAAATCCCATTTGCTATGGTGCGGAACAAATATATGGGGAGATTCTACCCTAAACATCTTAACACTCAAGTAGCCGAGAATGAAAAGAGGCAAGAGGAAGCAGCAGCAGATATAGGAAGATCACCCAAGGTTGCTCATGCTAAAGGTTGGGAGTAGGATGCATTTCTTCTGTCCCCCGCATCCCTATCCTGCAGAACACCTTGCCTAAAATACTTTAATTAGGTGTGTATTCTGTTGTCTATACATCAATAGATGGACAAGATCATTAGGATGCATAGTAAACACACAGGATCTTTTCTTGAGCATAAATGGTCAGTCAGTAACAGCAGCAGTTCTTATATCTGTTAGCCCACTTACCTGGCAGTAACCCTAGGGATATATAGACCACTGAATAGAATTAGGCCAGTTATTCTGCTTTCATCTTGAGTCAAACAGAAATCAGTTTAAGCCAGCATGATTATTCAGATGTCATGCTAAGTGTGGATGGTGAATATTAGAAAGGAGTCAAATGACTGACAAAAGGAAGATCTTCGAAACCAAACCTTCAGATTTTTCAAGGCTTTCCAGAATCTCAGATGATTTTTAAGCGTGCACAATCTCAGATCTCTGAGCATGTGTTAAACAGTAATAAATTGCTTCCTGTTTAAATAGGCACGGCAATATTCTCTCCTCAGGGCACCTCCCTTTCCTCTACCCCAGTCCCATTATACTTTGGGAAGATAGCATCTTCTTCCAATTCCAACTGTTTAAATAGAAGCAGGACTTTAATTTCCTGTGTGCTATCCTGCCCACCACTGCTTCTTCCTGCTTTCTCTGCAGAACCTATGCGTCAGCTCAGCAGCCTGCAACCAGGGGAGCCTGCAGCTCTCTCTCTCAGGTGTTCTCCATGGTTCACTGAAAGAAGGTAAAGTTCAGTCAGGGAACAGCCCTGCTTTTGACTCTTGCTGACCATCTCTTTAGTCCAGAGTCCTCAAGCACAGCTGTATCAGTGATATTAATAGCTAGCACACATACACAGATTCATTAATTGTTCACACGTTATATACCAATTCACATATATGGTGAAACCATGAGGATGTCTTTTCCAAGCCTACCAAACTGAGGGGGATGGGTGTGGATGAAAAACAAAGTTAACACTTACCTGAGCTACCCCTGGAAAGAATGCTCAGTCACTACTGCAGAACAAGATCATGGTTTCTAACAATCAGGGTCTAGCATTATACTAGCACACAAACTCTAAAGACAAAAATGTAGTGTACAGTTAATCATTTTGTCCACCAGGTGTTGCTGGAGACTACAAAACACATAAAAGACCCCAGCTTTTGGGAAGGGGTCAAACCTCCCCCTGATCCCTCCCTCCACCAAGTTCAACAAGAAGGGTTGGGTGACTAAGTATACTTTTATTAATGAAATGTTTCAAAGTTATAGTCTACAGTAATGCAATCCATGAAATTGCTGCCTCATCCCTCGCAGTGTTCAAGGCCAGATTGGATGGGGCTTTGAGCAACCTGGTCTAGTGGAAGGTGTCCCTGCCCATGGCAGGTGGTTGGAACTGGATGAGCTTTAAGGTCATTTCCAACCCAAATCATTCTGTGATTCTATGAAATTGAATTCCTATTTTCAAATAAACAAGCAGTGCCTACCTCCATTTCTAGGTGGAAGTAAAGCTTATCTATAACTTCATTAAAAAGCCAAGTAGTCACTATGTTTTTCAGGTTCTACATCTTATTGATTCAGATCAATACGTTATTAGGCCTGTAGTCATCAACAGCTTGTATCCATGGGTAGGTGGGGGAGCAGGAAATCAGTGTACGGATAGGACACTTGGAAATGGAAAAAAAGCAAGGAACCAATCAAACCAACCCAAAAACAACCCACCACAAGATCAAACAAACAAAATTAAAAAAAAAAAACAAAACCACCCAAACCCACAGCCAAAAAACAAAACCCCAAAACAGCCCCCCGCCCACAAAACCACAAACACACACACAGAAGCCCCCAAACCAAACCAAACCAAACAGACAAAGATTACCTTAGTAATTCTAGCTGGTTAACCCTGCGTGAATTTGTGGCAAAAATTGCTGGGAGTTTGATATGTAACCTATGAAAGTAGAACAGCAATTTCTAGTTTGCTACAGTTTCCAACAGGAAGGTGCTAACTTCTCTTTACAGACGTACTTTTTGTCCATCCATTGGTCTTCGTGGCTACAATGGACCAGTAGTATGCACGACATCACAGTGGGGTTTTCTGGAAAAAATATTATCTAAGTAAATCCAATTGTGTTTCAACAGTAATGGCACAAACACAATTTGATATACTATTTGAACCACCATGCGTGCCTCAAAATATTAAAAACAAATTAAAACAGAGCATTTATGATTCAGTTATAATGGTTTAGCCTGCAAAGCAAAGAAAAACTAAGGGCCATCAATACTTTTACAAGTAGTCCATGGAAAGGTTTGACTGACAAGACTAATTACCCAGTAAGTGAGTCAATCCTTGGTACTTGAAATCCGCATCAAGTTGGATAGGTCAATGATTCTGTTTGCTTTTTCGTTTCCAACAGTAACTAGTTTTGTACAGTCAAATGGAAGACAATTCATCCACAAATAAATAGTTTAGATGGAACAATTTCAGGATACTTTTTGGAAACCAGCATTATGTGGTGTCCTGTCTCTACAGAAAACTTAATTCTGCAAAAATTTGTCTACCACAACACCCACTCTTTGGGCAGAAGATGAAGCAAGACTAGACAAGTAGTGTTGTTCAGTAACCTATCACTAGAAAATGGATTACAGACACCGCATCTATATGCAAAGACAGAAAAGAAATAAGCAGACAAATATCTAAAGGAGGTGGGGATATGAAATGCCTGCTTTCGGTTACTTTTAGCATCTCTTTTTATATAGTTCCTCAGGAAACAAGGTACTCTGATCAAAAACGTTGAGGTACTTTGCTATCTCTGTATTAGAAAGTTAAGCTAGATGAATTCATGAGAAAAATGGTTAACCATTTAACTCATTTAGCTTCTTAAGTTGATATGAAGCTTTCTTCTTAAAGTGCCAAAGCTTACCTTGTTACACCATGCTTGGCAGAATTCCTTCAAATGACATCTGACTTTCTACATTTTGTGAGCAGCTAGTAGCTTCTTCCACCTGAAAAGGTGGCTTGCTTAACTACATACAACTTTTCCCAAATGTTGTTTTTGCAGTAAATTCGTAAGATACCAACATTACTGTGAGATTGTTTCTATTAAAAATGAAAAACCCTTCAATGTCAGTAAAAATAAATACTACTTTTCACTCAGCAAGCATCTGAATCATGAATCACTGGATGCTGGGCGTATTCATGGGAAGCATTAATGCACACGTTCCAAATTCTCTGCCTCTTCCCACTGGCCACTGTTGGGCCAGAATTCTCAGCCTCCCCACTGTCCTCAAGAAATCCTATAAAAATTTGAGATAAAATGTCACCATTCTTACTGCTCCTATAAACTATTTAAAACTTCTGCAGCTCCCTTTTAAACACTTAGCACACAGGAGAAAGAACATCCAAAGACACTTCAATTACATGGTTTTGGTTGGGCATCCCTTCTATGGCAGATACAAAACACGGGACCAGCAATAGAAGAGAACCACAGAATCATTTATTGGAAAAGATCTTGAAGATTGAGTGCAACAGTTAACACTGCCAAGTCCACCACTAAACCATGTCCCCAAGTGCCTATGTATCTTTTAAATACCTCCAGGGATGTTGACCCAACCACTTCCCTGGGCAGCCTGTTCCAGTGCCTGACAACTCGTCTGGTGAAGAAATTTTTCCTGATATCCCATCTAAACCTCCCTGGAGCAACTTGAGGTCATTTCCTCTTGTTCTGTCACTTGTTTACTTGGGAGAAGAGACTAACACCCACATCACCCCAACCTCCTTTCAAGTAGTTGCAGAGAACTATAAGATGTCCTCTGAGCTGCCTACTCTCCAGACTAAACACCCCAAGTTCCCTCAGCTGTTCCTCATCAGATTTGTTCTCCAGAACCTTCATCATTTTGTTGCCCTTTTCTGGAACCGCTCCAGTCCCTCAATGTCTCTCTTGCAGTGAAGGGCTCAAAACTGAACACAGTATTCAAGACACAGCCTCACCAGTGCTGAGTACGGGGGGACAATCCTTTCCTTAGAAGTGCTGGTCATGCTGTTTCTGATACAAGCCAGGATGCTATTTGACTTTCCTGGCTACCTAGGCACAAAAGCTGGCTCATATTCAGCCAGATGTCAACCAACACCCCAGGGTCCTTTCTCTCCGAGCAGCTTTCAATGTTGCAAGGGGTTGTTGTGACCCAAACGCAGAACCTGGTACTGAGCCTTGTTGAACCTCATACAGTTGGTCTCAGTCCATCAGTCAAGGCTGTTCAGGTCCCTCTGGAGAGCCTCGCTACCCTCAAGCATATAAATATTCCTGCCCAACTTGGTGTCCTCTGCAGACTTTCTGAGGCTGCACTCAATCACCTCATCCAGATCACCGACAGGTATCAAACAGAACTGACCCCAATCCTGAGCTCTGGGGACCACTTGTGACCAGCTGCCAACTGCATTTAACTCCATTCACCACCACTCTTTCGGGTTGGCCATCCACCCATCTTTTTATTCAGCAAAGAGAACACCTCTGCCTGCTTACATAGCCACTGTATATGGCTTGTTTGCACATCAATACCTGTATTGATGTCACAAGCCTCTGAAAATGAGTGATGCAAGAGCATACAATTATCATAGGTATGTCAAGTCTATTACGCTATAGGGGAAGACTATATTTGTTGATCCCCCACCAGCTGATGACTGTTAAGAAAAAGTATGTTTTAAAAGCAGTCTCATTTAGCATAGATGAACATTAAAACACTGCAACAAAGAGATATTTTTTCTCTCACAAACAAGACATCTTACAAAGTAAAAACTTAAAGCTATTCCAGTCTATCAGCTTTTACTGACAAGAATTGCATACCCAGAGAATATTATTCAAATTAGATTACCTAAACCAAGCCTCTGAATTACAGTCATATGGATAGCACTTACAAATAAAAATTCTAAGCAGCTTTCATTAGCTGACTGCAAAATGAAATTATGACCACCCATTCAATTCACATACAGCTTGTCTGACAATCACCTGCACCACTTTAATACACGTAAAAGCTTCCCCAACAGACTAATCTGTTACGCCTTTATTAGCTGCCCTGTATCTCTCCTTTTCATGAGGGACAAAGGACATGCGTATTTTATGCCCACGCCACAGAACATGCTATCACTGTGTTCCCTAGAGTATTCCTATTTCTCCCACTGTTCTCTTCCCAACTTCTAAATAAGTTGAATTTATTCAACTTCTCATCCTCAGCAATTCATGAATTTTCCTCCTTACCTCAGACCAGGTCTTTCACCACAGTTTCATCTAGTCCTCCCATCTTCACAGTCATGCGTTCCACTTCAAATCTTCCAAGGGCTTAATCTTTTCAACATGTAGTATCATTTCTGAAGCTGTAGAGACAGACTGCTAGATACTAATGCAGACTGTGGTACTTCCCTCTTACAGTAACTATCAGAAAGTATGCCATCTTCCACTCTCACTAGAGGGAGCCACAGGCATTACACAGGAGCAGGAAGCAGATCTAATCAGGTCTTGCCATAGTATATTCCTAACTCAGTATTTTATTTCCACAACTATAGGGCTAAATAAGCGTAAAAGACAACATTAAACAAAACTTTTAACTTTAATATTCAAATTCAACACTAGTAAGAACAAACAGAGCACAAATGGGAAACACTGTTTAAACTAAAATTAATGAAGAGACAAGCCACTAATTAGAACAGTTCTATTTTTTAGCAACATCTGTCAGCCTAGGTCCAACATCAGTACAGATTCTGATGGCCACTTCCTGTTCATTTTGGAACTTTGAATAGTTAATCTTTGTCTGTTGGCATGTCAAACTGCAGTTTCAGTAAAGTATACTATAAACACCAAACTTATGTACATAAACTGTGAAGAACAACTTGAACACTTACACTAAATAATTATTTACAAGTACTCCAACATTAAAAAAAACAACAAAAAACCAAACATAAAATAGCCTCAAAGAATGGACAACTGAAGAGAATAAAAACACGTAAAGAGAACCTTATTAGAAAGAATTACAAAACATCAATAGCCAAGACATTAACAATTGCACTACACTAATACAGAGCCCAAATATTAAATTGGTGCATTATTTCTCAATGCACTAGCTTTGAGAGAAAAATGCTGCCTTCGCTAAAATGCAGCTTAATTTGTTTCACGTAATTGTTTTTACAAGAAGCCTATTAACACAATAATGATTGTTTTAATGCTACAGTTTACAGCAAGGACAACAAACTAAAAATAGCAGCAGTTCCACTTGGCACTTAATTCCACAGGTTTCTAAGCTGTGGTTTATGCAATGCCTACAAAGTGCTCCCAGTTGAATATACAAATAAAATTCACAATAAAAGTTTACCTGACATCAGGTACATTGAGTGTAGGTGGCCTTAAAGCCAAAAACGTATTCCCCTCTGCTCCAAAAGTATCAGTAACTACCAAAGCAAGGCCCCCTCCCTCCCTCTTAAAAATCATTAGGGATATTACTTCTTATTACAATGCCGTAACGCTACAAAGCAGCACACCACTATAGTGGTTAACCCTGGGACAATGTAACATCTAACAGTGTAACTGAAAAGCTTATGGACTAATATCCAGGATCTTCTATGGCCAAGATAGTAACAGAGTCCATTAACTCAAATGGTTAATACAGCTTATCAGCCATATTGTACAAGAACGAACCCAGAAACAATTTGTGTAAAACTAGTGACACTGACCAAAGACAGGACAAGAAACCAGGAATTGAATTCTTTCAATTCTTTGGGCTTCAGTCTGGTGGAGATGCTTAGCCATCCTCAGTAGTTCTTTTATACGTCATAGTTAGTATATAGTAAGACTAACTGAGCGGTTCATTTTCTTTCCAATGAGTCGAGATGGTCTATTTTGTGTTGTAGATCTAGTTGTCATTCTGTCAGTGAACAGTGCTCGCTCCTCAGCTGCAGCCTTTGCCATCTGTGCCTTCTTCAGCTCTCTGTAAGACATTGAGAGAGTCACACATATGCAACGGTAGCAGTAAGGACTATGGGCGTTATCACAGCAAAAGCATTTCAAATGAATTACAGCAGTTTCAGAACTTAAGATCTGCCATCAATTTAGGTCATACTAAGACCATTATCATTCACATCTACCTGTTTACAACCCAAAGGACAGAGGTGGGATGTCTGTTACTCATCTAGATGTTACTTCTTTTAAACAAGGGAAGGAAATGTCAAATTCACATAACTTGGTCAGATTTCAAAACCCATCCTTTTACAAGCAGCTCAACACTTCACTTACCAGAACATGGTAGGATGCTGTTTACTTTCTAGTACAAGCATGTGATAAATCACCAAAGAGCTTGTTACTGAGGTTTGCCCAAATGAAGCATTCATTCACAACTGAATTTTTGTGGAAGATTCAGACAGAGAGACACACACTTAGATTAACAAAGAACACAACCAGCAACAACTCAGGAAGTATCCTTTTCCCTTTGCATTACCCACATCAAGGCTTATCACCAACTAAATCTTTTTCTGCCTAACAAATAAATTTGAGCCCAAACCTGCAAGGCTGAGTCACTGAAGGTATCATAGGTCATTGTCCCTGGGCAATATTCTCTCAACTATTCTGTTTCAGAGAATTACCAATATTCAGTCTGAGAAGAAAGTTACATAAAACTCAGGGGCAAACTATTAAATAGTCTGAGTAAAGAGCAAATTTATCTTGATCAACTATTTCCCCACACACTCCTTTTCTCCTTTCCCTAAATGCTAGCTTATGGCCAAGTGTAATATTTCCTCATAAGCTTTTCTTTCTTCTATCCCAAACTACTCCTCCTCAAAGAATTTTCTCCACCATAAGAACTAGCATTTGTAATGTCACTCGAAATCTGGATTTAAAAGCAAGATCAAATTTCACAAGTTTGCTGCACATTGGTGTAGGTGTATTTAAAGTTACATACTTTACTTTAAATAAATACTCCCGTTGTTGTCAGCCAAAGTATTATTCACTAACACCAATGCCCCATCTAATCCTCCCCACATTAGCACTGTGTCAGTTCACTGCAAGAGAATGCAATCAATTTTTAATTGTCTTCCCTAAAGACTAAACATCAGTCACAAACACATGCATATGTGCACAGCCACCCACCACACCATTACCAGGACATAAGTTTTATAATATACTTCCATTCTTTTCTAGAAGTCTGATCTTGAATTCTTCCTTCCCCTGAAGAAGACAACACAGTAGAAAAGCACTTCCCTACAAGGATTCCTTTCAGGGATGGTAATTTACATACCAAAGTGGTATCTTAAATGGGTCAAAATGCAAGAAGGTTAAAAAAAATAAATAAATAAATCCCAACAAACAAAATAAAACCACCTCAACTAATTTATAGAACACTACCCTCACAATGCTAATAATTACTATGGAGAATTGTTCTTTTTAAATCATTTTTGGATTTACAGTTATAAGGATGTACCCTACTTGATGCCAGGCAAGAAACAGTCTTCACAAAATATTAACTTTGCCTATTTCC